CTAACTGTCCATCCAAGACATTGATAAATGCATCAAAACTTCAACAACAAAAAATCAATTATTAAAATAGTTAAACTTTATTTTATTGTTTTTAAGAAAAAAAATAATTATAAACCTGTATTTACCTGTCTTTTCGTATGAAAAGTTTGGTATTGTCTGTAAACTTAATGATAGGACAGTCTATATTGTAAACATTTTCAATGCACGGCACCAGTAGTTTATGATCGGTGGAACATTCAGTGCATTCAATTAGCTCGCAATACATATCCATGTCATGCCATAGAAAGTTTTGGATTTTTATATAGCGAGCAGCACCGGTATCCAATTTGATGAGCACACGTAGCTGTTTATTATTACACGCATAGCCATCCATTTTACAGATCAGTGTCCAAACAGTCGCCGCGTTGATGGTTAGGTCATATGAAGTATTACTGGTCCAATCAATTTTATCCGACGCCGCCGGCATTACCACAGCTCCTGTATTATGCGATTCAGTGCTCCGGATGTCAAACAATAGTTGTATAATATTGTTATCTGAGTCGTCCGGGTCGACACTGGGAACAACTTGCAGCTGACGACGACATATACTTTCCGGTTGTTGTTGTTGTTGTTGGCCATCAATAGTACTTTGATTGACATTTGGCATATCTATAGACTGTACGACCGTTTGTTTGTGGCTAACTTTTCTAAGTTTAGACGGACCGGTAGCTGCTAACATGACCAACATATCGTTGGCCGATCGTTTTCGGTTACTGTTGTTTGACTGTATTTTACGATTTTGCAGACCTGACGGCCCAGGGATTGACTCCAATACTATCGATGGTTTTGGCAATTGATTTGCGAGTACTTTGACTTTATCATCAATACTATGTACACCGATACTAGTGACACATACGAAATTGTAGACATTTTTGTAGCTAATTTTCGTTGAGTTAGATGGACCGGGAGCTAAAAAATTGTCAATCGTATTGCTGGTGCTGGCCTTAAGGCGTTTGTGGCCACTATTGTTTGGCTGATGTATATCATTATCATCAATAGTCGGCCCAATTGGATCCAAAACTATTGATTCTGGCCACTTATTGGCCACAAGTTTTGTGCGGTTGTGGTCAGTGTCGACAGTATTCGGCTCATAAACTGTATGGTACGGTAAGGTATCGTCGACCAATTTAATCTTGCATAGACAATCATCTAATTGTTTATCGACTAAACTATAATCGTTTTGATTATTATGAGCAGACCGTTGGCCACTGGCCAGGCTTGACACGCTTGACGGCTGACTATTCCACATGACATTACTATTGGCACCGTATTTAAAACAATCAAATTGTTTGATATCAGTTTTACCGTTAATTAGCAGTTGATTAGCAGCTGAACTATCATCAGCTTCGTTGTCCATGAAATACATTGCAGACAACAACTGGTCCGAGTTGTTGATCGGATCAGCATTTTCGATGTCAATAGTCTCAGCGATATCATCACCAAAATAGCCGCCATCACCACCGATACTGTTGCTGCTGCTACTTATGGTATGTTGATCTGCTAAATAGTGGTCAGCAATTACTGGTTGGTCTGTTAGCTCAGGTATGTCGTCGTCTAACATATCAACGATATCCATCCCATTTAAATATGTATACACCGGTCAGTTTGGGTGAGTGTATATATGTGTGTGTAAAGCCCTATATAATATGCAACCTATTGTTTAAAAAAAATAAAAATTCTTTTACTAATTAAATTATATGTATTAAACAATTCGTTATAAATATTCTTATTTAAAAATATATATAAATATAAACTATTTGTTTCTCTAAACTGTTGGTAATATGATTTTTTTACAGTAATGTTATATTTAGTTTATTATAATTATTAGTTATGTATTTAGTATATTAGTTTAGTATAGTTATTATATATAGTAATACATTGCACAATGCATTTAAAAAATTGAAATATTTTTTTTAATAATATAAAAAATAAATCCTAATATACATAATTTTTAAATATATTTTATTTAAAATAATTATTATATTGTTTTGCTATAAACTTAGCCATTTGTAAGGGCCATTGTAAGCAATAGTTAATAAACTGTTTAATGGGTAATAATGTGTAATATAGGTGTATAGTAGGTATAGTCGATAACATTGCCATCAATTAATACTCACTCTGGTATAAAACTAATACAATAACATATACATATAAAATACATAATATACACTGTATCTTATGTGTTATGTATTACACTACTTTATAAACTTAATTTGCTATACAGTGCTGTAATATATGGTGAAATTTATAAAACATTACATAATATACTGTATTTATTTTTTTTATAATTAAATTATTGATTTATTTGTTAAAAATTTATTGAGATAACAATAAGTAGTGTTACTGTACTACTGAATATAAATATTAGTCATCACATAAATGTTTAGTAAAAAATATTCAAATCAATCTAAATAATTAAATAAACATAACTATAAAACTAATTATTAATAAAAAATAAATCCCAATTAAATGTTAGACATTAATAGCTAATTAATTATATTCAATAGAGTACACACACACATACATACATACATACATACATACATACATACATACATACATACATACATACATACATACATACATACATACATACATACATACATACATACATACATACATACATACATACATACATACATACATACATACATACATACATACATACATACATACATACATACATACATACATACATACATACATACATACATACATACATACATACATACATACATACATACATACATACATACATACATACATACATACATACATACATACATACATACATACATACATACATACATACATACATACATACATACATACATACATACATACATACATACATACATACATACATACATACATACATACATACATACATACATACATACATACATACATACATACATACATACATACATACATACATACATACATACATACATACATACATACATACATACATACATACATACATACATACATACATACATACATACATACATACATACATACATACATACATACATACATACATACATACATACATACATACATACATACATACATACATACATACATACATACATACATACATACATACATACATACATACATACATACATACATACATACATACATACAATTATTGGTAATTACTGATAATTTATCAATTAATATAACAAATACAGTAATAATATAGTAAGTTAACTATGGATTAGTGAAGGGGTTGAGGGCTTATCCTAACCTAACCCTAACCCAACATATTTAATTAGTTTCGGTAACCCCTAACCGATAAATATAATTAATTTATATATTTTTTCCCACAAACTATAATATTTTTACATACCTGTGCTGTGATATAATTGTGTTGTTTGTGTAATATATAGTTCCAAATGAGTCTGTCTTTTAATGGACGGCTAATAATTATGATGTGTTCATCACCTGAAAAAGGTATATGTGTTAAGGCACTGGTATATACTGTATTGTATGTATGTATTGTAATCGTTATATCCAAATGTTGTAATAAATCGCAGTTTTTATGTTATCAAAGGGTTTTTAACAGCGCAAGTATTATATAATAGAGTTGGTGACAAAACCCCTGAACCAAACCGTGAAAGTAAATCGGAAATTAATTAATTTTTAAATGATTAATATGAAAAAAATAAATACAATTAATTTTATTAATTTCATAGCATTTTTTTAGACTAACTTTCACTTTTAAAGTATATAACTATAAACCAATATTTTTAATTTTAATTTTTTATAATTTTTTTATTCATGATTATGATGTGTGTGTGTGAATATTCCCGTGATTTTTCCCGAAACTATCTATTAATAGGAGTATACTGTAGTAAATGTCAGCAAATAATAAAAATAATTTTCTTCAATAAATTATATATAATTTATATAATAATAATAATCTATTCTACAAAATGGATAATATATGTATGATATATAAAAACATAATTTATTTAAATTAATTAAAACTTTATTAGAATATATAATTTTTAAATATTTATTATAAACAATTAGAATTATTTAATAGTTTTTCTACATAATAAAATTTACATTAATTTTGTTATGTTTTATTTTTTAAAAATAATTATAAATAAAAATAGTTAAAAAAAATGTAAACCAATATTAATTTATAATACATTACAATAGTATGAAATGAGTATTAAATAACATAATAAACTATCTATTTATATACTGGGTATTACAAATACGATATCAATTTTAATAGTATTATATGATAGAAATAAAAATAAACAAAAAAATCATTATATACTATATATAACATAATCCATGTTATAATTTTATGAATTAGTTTTTTTTTGATAAATATTTAATTAACTATTTAGTTGTAATATATGGTATTTATTTTGAAAAAACTAACATAATATTTTATATTTAATAATTTGTAAATTGTTATCATAACATATATAGTTATTTAAATTTAATTAAATATTTAAGTCATTCAAGTTTTGTTATTTGTATTTAATGTTTTTATTTAATTTAGTTTTAATTTATTATTTAAAATAGTATTAATTTTCTTTTGTCAATTCTCAATTATATTGTGTTTATTATATAATCAAAATAATTACAATAAAGTAATATATATAACGTTTATTTAAAGTTCAAAGATTATAAAAATATAAATATATAGCTTTATTTATAAAAAAATAATATTTTTTTAAACAAAAATTATCGACTTTTAATTAAAATGTTTTGTTAGTAATTATATAAAAATTTATATATAAATATTATAATAAAATACAATAAAAATGATTTATATTTATTTTTTAAAAATAAATATATATATAAAATCTATATAATTTATCTTTTTTTAAAAATAATAATAATTTCATAAACCTTGGTATTCATGGAATGATAATAATAATAATAATAATAATAATACAACTAATATGAAAATCATAATAATTTTCATATCAATTGATATTCAATTTCTCAACCAATAACTGGTTCATAGTTTTTCGGTCTGTTAGTTGTCTCAACATTTGTTTAAAAACAAATACATTGTTAGCCAACCGGACCTCCTCTACCCTGACCTCCAGTTCCTTTTCATCGTTTTCGGCATTTTTCTTCAATCGGCTCTTTTTGCTGGCCACATACGCAACTATCCTATCGGGATCCATACGCTGACCACCCTTACCTTTAGGGTCAACCAACTGTCCATCGACAACATCGACAAATGAATCGAAACTAATTATAATAATAATAATAATAATATTTAGTAAAAAAAATATTTTTTTTCATACAATGGATTTGTATTTTACTTTTAAAAATGACATTTTTAATTATTATTATAATAATAATATAGTACTGTATTATTATTACCAGTAATTTGGTATAAAAACTTTGGTTTCGGCAGTAAACTCAATGATAGGACAGTTTGAATCGGACATCCGTTTATAGATTGGCACCAGTAGTCTGTGATCGGGAAATTTATTATTGAATTTATTTAATAGAAAATACATATCAATGCCATGCCATAGAAAGTTTAGTATTTTTATATACCGGGCACCGGTATCTAATTTGATGAATACACGTAGTATTTTATTATTACAGTTACAGCCATCCATTTTACAGATCAGTGTCGACACAGTCGTCGAGTTTAATGTTATGACTGATGAGGTATCTATGGTATCGTCCGATTGGCCACTAGTTTGCCGACTGGCGGCGGCTGTTTGTCGTCTTTTATTTCCTGGCGATTTTTTACGGCCTGTCTTACATTGTTTAGCATCGGTCGCCGATAGCTTATAGGTTTCGTCGATGATAAGCTCTGGGATGTAAACAAGTAGCCGACCAGTCTGATCGTGATCGGCCACCATCACCGGTATTGCCGATTCAGAATTGAGTGGTATAGCGGACCGTCGGACGTCAAACAATAGTTGTATAACATTTGGATCTGAGTCGTCGGGAACGACATCGGGAACAACTTGCAGACGACATACACTTTCCGATTGTTGTTGGCCTTCAATAGTATCAATAGTATTTTGATTGACATTTGGCATATCTATAGACTGTACGATCGTTTGTTTGTGGCTAACTTTTCTATGTTTAGACGGACCGGGAGCTGACATATCTAACATATCATTGGCCGATCGTTTTCGGTTACTGTTTGACTGTATTTTACGATTTTGCAGACCCGACGGTCCAGGGATTGACTCCAATACTATCGATGGTTTTGGCAATTGATTTGCGAGTACATTGACTTTGACTTTGTTAGCATTGTCCGTAGTATTGCCGATAATATGTATGATAGTAATTGATTTTAAGTCATCCAGGTTATTAATTGGCTTAGTTATAGTTGACATATCAATACGGGTAAATTTTTTAAACGGCACAATCATCAATGTACTATTAGCTAGATCATTTTGTTGCTGCCGCATCAATTGCATATTATAAATGGGCACTAGTAGCCCGTATGTCGGTTTATTAGGTATGGAAGCCAATTGAAAATGTTGATCCTGACCGGTCCAGTAAATGTTTTCAATTTTTACTAATTTCATTGTCAACGCACCGGTAGCTAACAGTAAATCATTGATCCAGTAATTGACCAGTGGTTTCACTTTAGTCATAATTAATTTAAAGTATTTCCTACTAATATTTTGTGCTTCAATGACCTCATTATTATTATTATTATTATTATTATTATTATTATTATCATTGTTATAGTCTAAATCTTGTCCATCATCGGTGCCCATCATAGATAATAAGGCATTAATACCATCATCAGCCATGTTATGGCCACAATCTGTGTCACTTATCTTCGAGTCGGTGGTGTGTTTCAAAAACGACAGACCGTTTGCATTAACACTGACCACATCCTTATGATTATTGTCAGCTGATCTCGGCTCATCCATATTCGACTGTATAGTATCGGTAACATCAATTGAGTCATCATCATCATCATCGTTGGCCATATCGGGTACAATTGATTGCTTTTTGGCGGCCACTGGAAGTGCTTTGCCGACATAATCATCAGCAGCAGCTGCACCTTTGTCCATCACTGGCGGTGATTCGGCCACTTGTGGCCAGCCGCAGTCATCACTATCGCCGCTAGTTTCGTAACCAAATGATCCATTGGCTATTGACTTGTTAGTGATATGCATAAGCGGTTGACTACTAGTACTGCTACTACTACTCCACATGACATCACGGGAGCCGTCGTTAAGTACATCCAGGTCTTTATCAGTGAAACCAAACAGCGCTTCCGTTGCTCTTTTAGCCTCAGGAGAGTTACAACTATCGTAAATGACTGCCAATGTGTTGTCAGAGCCGAAGTCTATCTGAGACAACTGATCCGAGTCATGATCGTCGTTGGCAACGAGCGGACAGTCGTCGTCGACAACCGGTTGGGTCATTGGCTCAAACATGTTGTTACTACCGATTCATTCACTTTAAGACTACTAAAGATTAAAAATCATTAATTAAATCATTAGTTTTGTTTATTTAAAACTTTTTTGTTATAATTAAAAAAAATAGTTTTAAAAAAATAATATTTAGTACATAATTATCCGGAATTATATTGTAAAGTATTTTAATTGTTATTATTAATAAAAATAGTGTTTATATTTACTAAATTCAATTTAAAAAAAACAATTATAAAGATAGTTGTAACTTTTTAATTACTATTATTATATATATTAAATTTAAATACATATATTAAAAAACATATTTTAATAGATTAATTTTAAGTTAGTTAAAATTATTATTTTTTAAACACAGTTTTTAAAAAAACATTTGTATGATTTTTTTAGATATATAGTAAATTACTTATTAAATAATATTTAATTAAAACAAACATTTATTGTACAATAATTATTATAACTATTTGTTATAATTAGATATACTGTAGAGTAGGTGTGATATAATTAGAGTTAATAATAAGTTTGATTAAGAAAATAATGTACAGTATATTATAGGTATTAGTCATCAATAGTCTATAATATACTGTAATTTATATTATATGTTGTGTAATGTATAGTAATTTTCTAAATACTGATATATTTTTTTATAAAAAAAATATTTTTAGTAATTCAGTATATACAGTATTATATATGATAGTTATAGTTATATAAAAATTATATTCCGGTATATATTGTATATATATATACACACACACAGGCAGGACTATTATATTTTGCTTATACCCCCTCCCAATCCCGCCTCCTGTGTGCGGATCATATATAATAGCTCGTACACAGTATACAGTATTTACTTAAAATATATTTTTATATAAAAAGTTTATAATTTACACAGTAATACATATTATATTATTTTAATTGAAAATAATTAATATATAACTTACTATATATACTGTATATAAAAGAAAATAATGTACAGTATATGGTATTAGTCATCAATAGTCTAGAATATACTGTAATTTATATTATAAGTTGTGTAATGTATAGTAATTTTATAAATACTGATATATATTTTTATTTAAAAAAATATTTATTAGTAGTTGAATACTAGTTATATAACAGTTATATAAATTATATTACGGTATATATATACACACACAGGCAGGACTATTATATTTTGCTTATACACCCCCCACCAATCCCGCCTCCTGTGCTCATATAATAGCCCATACACAGTATACACTGTATACTATACAGTATTTACTTTAAAAAAATATTTTTATATAAAAAGTTTATAATTTACACAGTAATACATAATATATTATTTTAATTGAAAATAATTTATATGTATATATACTGTATATAAAAGATAATAACTAAAACAAATATAAGATAATAATATAATAAAAAAAACTGTTATCACAATTTATTTACTATAATAATTACTGCCTACACATAAATTGATAATGAAAAAAATACTATAATAATAAAAAAAAATATCAATACACTTTTGATTTTCAAAACCTAATCGAGTTATCAAATATTTATGTATTGATAGATATGTTTATATTATATTATTTATATTTATATTTTATATTTTATATTTTATATTTTATATTTTATATTTTATATTTTATATTTATATTTATATTTATATTTATATTTATATTTATATTTTTATATTTATATTATATTTTATATTATATTATATTCATATATAAGTGTGAATGCATTGCTCTACTAATGATATGTATGTTTATGTAAGACTACAGTACTATTAATAGACTGTCTAATGGGGAGCGGGATGTTAGGTAAGTGATAGGGGGGAGAGTAAGAAATATTTTATGGGGGTCGGAAGTAGACTGTCTATTATATGATATAATTTATATCGATGTATGTTACTATAACCCTGGGCACACGTCACTGGTGATATGGGGAGACATTTGATAATATTTTTTGTGTGTAATACTAAACATGTATATAATATGATTCATGTGATATAATATGGCTAACTTATATTATATATAAATTGTGTTATTTATATGTAATATTATAAGTTAATTACAATTGTGTTATTATTTTGTATAAATATATTATTATTATTAAACTAATTTATTAGTTATTATTTCTATATATTAAGTTAATTAAACTATTAAATTAGTTTTTTTAAATATCAATTGATCGGTAAATATTGAAATACCGCGGTATTGTATGATATGATTGTATGACAAATAGACTTTTATATACAGTATATATATAAAGTTATATTAAGTGAACTAATTGTTAAATATTATAGTTTATTATTTTTTTGTGGGTGAATTTAAGTGATTGATTGATTGATGGGTTAGTCAAAACCAGAAAAACCTATTTACTTTGTTGACCATTATTATAAGGATATCGGTGCGGATATAGATTGTCGCACTTTATTATTAATCATTAGGTGTGGTCATAATTGTGTTTTATTTTTATTTGATTTTTTGTTTTTTTTGAGTAAAATTTTTTAGGTAATCAAACATATAGTATATAAGTAGAAACAGTAGGCAATAATTGCCGGTAATATAATACTTGATTAGGGGTTAGAAAGAGAGAGAGAGAGAGAGAGAGAGAGAGAGAGAGAGAGAGAGAGAGAGTGGGCTAAACAACTGTAATCTAACCCAACATAGACACCATAAATTAGGTAACGGTATTTAGATTGGATAATATACATAAATTTATTTAATTTTACTAAAAATTAATATTTTTCACATACCTGTGCTGTGATATATATATATATATAATGGAAGTGCTGTTGTTTGGTTCAAGTTGTTGTATATTTATCTATACAATGAGTGTATCAATTTTTTTTCAAATGGACGGCTAATAATTATGATGTCTTGTCTTCTATCAACTGTAAGGGTAAGGGTATCAGTGTGTTAAGGCACTGGTATATATAATGAATGTATGTATGTATGTATGTATTGCAATCGTTATATCTAAATGTTGTAATAGATCGCAGTTTTTTTGTTGTTATCAAAGGGTTTTTTAACAGCGCAAGTGTTATATAATAGAGTTGGTGACAAAATCCCTGAACCAAACCGATAGAAATATGGAAAATACAATCAATTAATAATTCAAAACACATTTTGTTTTTTTTAGTATAACTATAACAAAATATATATATATATTTTAATTTTTATTTTAAACAAATTATCAATCAATAACTTGAATATTGATGATTATGGTGTGTTTGTGTGAGAATATTCCCGTAATTTTTTCCCGAAACTATTTCTAAACACTCTATTAATAGGAATATACTGTAAATGTCGGCAAATAATAAAAACCATTTTCTTTTATATTCTATATATACTAATAATAAGTTATATAATACTATATTCAACAAAATGGATAACTGTATGATGTATACAGTATTATACTGAATAACAAAATAATATACTTAATTAATAAATATTAAAATTAGTAAATAATATTTTACATGAAAATATTTACATATTAGAAACAATTGTGTGATTATTTAAAAATTTATTTAGAAAAAATAGTACACTTAATATTTTATTATTTAACAATATTCTCATAAATAGAAAATAATGTAAACAAATATTTTATTTTTAAAAATAAATGTACAATAAATGTGAAATGAATATTAAATAACATATCACTATAAAGTACAGTATTTATATTTCTAATAGACTATCAATTTTAATATTATATGATAAAAATAAACAACATTTTAAATATATTTTAATATATTTAAATATATGTTATAATTTTATTAAATAGTTTTTTTTGATAATAACTATTTAGTTGCAAACTTTAGTTGTAAACTAATATTTATTATTATTTTTAAACTGAAACATAATATTTGATAGTTATTTGATAGTTATATTTATGATTTATTTGATTTCAATTTATTAGATATACTAACGTATAATCATTTTAGTTTATTTATTTATTTCTAATATTTATATAATTAAAAATACTATTAAAATAGATAAATGTATTAATTAATTACTAATTAATTTTTAGATAGTTAGTTGATTTTATTGTATTATAATGTTTATATTAATAAATCTATCATAGATTTAATAATAATTTGTAAATTAATTAATTTAAATCGATCTAATTGTAAATTTCATTTATAAACCTTATTGATATAAAACTTAGTTAAATATCAAACAAATAAAGTTAAACAAAAAACTTTTGTATAATAATTAATTTTTTATTTTATAATTTGAAATATGAAAAAATACAAAATTGTATATTATAATAATTATTTTTTAAAAATAATTTTATTGCTAATATTTAATTAAAAATTTTTAAAATAATTTTCGTCTATTATAGACAGTAATTATATACACATAGACAGTCACATTAGCATAACATAAACATAAATATTTATAATTACATTTAAAACATCAATAAAAATATAATAATAAATTTGAGATTATTTTTTTTATAATAATTTTACCATACACCATTAACCATATTTACCGAAATCCAATAAATTAATAAAATATATAATAATAATTAAAAGTAGAAATAAATGAAAACAAATACATAAAAAAGACATATTAAAACTAAAAAATTATTTTTTTATATAATAAAAATTTTATGATTTTTTTTGTATTTATATATTTTTCTATAGTTTTTTTTCTGTACAAATAATTTTTTTAGTTTTTTATATATTTTCTTTAGTTTTGCTTATAGTTATTATTAAAAAAAAATTCAAACACCAAAACATCAGTAGTTATCCTATTGTTTGGTATTCTTATCGATTAAATCCGTATATTGTTTCGATTCTTCAGGAGTCATATAATCTAAAAGATGTTTATTTTCATCAAAATATTTCATCCATTGATCTAAACCATTGCGCAGACAATCCAGTTGTTCCACATATGCCTTATGTTTTGCCAATTGTTTTCCATATTCCTCTCTAATAGCCATCTCTTTTAACTTCTTTTTATTTCTATATTCTTGCGAAGCCTTCTTCTGTCGGGATTTTGTGTTTCTAACTCTGACTTCGACAGGCAGTGGTGGCCGACCTCTCTTGGCTGATGAACAGCAGACAATAGTGCCGCCACCGCCACCCGATTGGCCACCACTGGCGCCAGCGCATTGTTGACCAGAGAGCTCGGCAATCGTATTGTCTAATGTTAGCGCCGATCGTTTGCGGCCAACAACTTCCGGATCTGGTTTGTTGTTGTCGTCGTCGTCATCGTCGACTGTCGGCATATCGTTAACTTGATTTTGCAAACCCAACGGTCCCGCTATTGGCTCCATGATTGGTGATCCGGGTATTATCTGGCAGTCACGCATAATAGTGGCCAGTGTATCGCTACTGATATTTTTTGCGCAATGATTATCTTTATTAGTTTCAACAGTGATCTCATTGCCGGCATTGGCCACTACATTGCCGTCATTAACGCCGATATGTATGCAACTGATTGATTTTAAGTCATCCATGTTATTAATTGGCTTAGTTATAGTTGACATATCAATTTGGGTTAATTTTTTAAACGGCACAGTCATCAATGTATTATTAGCTAGATCATTTTGTTGTTGCTGCACCATGTGCATATTATAAGTGGGCACCAGTAGCCCGTATGTCGGCTTATTAGGTATGGCAGCCAATTGAAACTGTTGATTGCAATTAGTCCAGTAAAAGTTTTCTATCTTCACTAACTTTTCAGTCAAAGCACCGTTAGCTACGGTATTGTTGATCCAGTAATCAGCCGATGGTTTCATTTTATTCAAAACTGAATTACAATAGTCGGTCATAATTTTTTGTGTTTCAATGGTCTCATTATTATTATTAGTATTATTATTATTGACACCATTGTTATTGTTTAAATCTTGCCCGCCATCGGTGCCCATCATAGTTAATACGGCGTTAATACCATCAACCGAGTTATGGCTACAATCCGTTTTACTGGTCATCGAGTCTGTGGTGTGTTTCAAAGCCGACAAATCCGATCCGTTTTCATCAACACTGACCACCACTTCATTGTCTTTAGTGTCAGCTCTCGACTCACACATACTCGACTGTAGAGTATCGGTGACATCCATAGCGTTATCGTTGGCCATATCGGGTCCAACAACCGGCTTCTGTTCGGCCACTGGCAGTACTTTGTCATCATCATCAGCAGCAGCAGCAGTCTTGTCCATCACTGGCGGTGATTTGGCCGCCACTTGTTGTCCATCGCTGTTGTCATCTACATTGCCATAGACATCATCACTGCTGCCGTTATTTTGACCACCATTTGAGTACAGATATGACAGAACACTAGCGAATGCTTCATCTGAAGTCTTTGTTATCATCGACTCCAACATAGCGTCAGTCAATTTATCTTCATCTTCATCGTCGTCATCGATAATCTCAAACGATTTGCTGGTTGTCGCCGCCATTTGTGTCCGATTGACAGTCGGACAGTCGACTTCAATCTCCCACTGACCGGAACTGATGTCAAACTTTTCCAAATTATCTGACATTATTATTATTATGGATGTGATGGACAGGTAGTGTCTTCTTTGTGTAGTATCTCTACAGTCTCTCTCTCTCTCTCTTTCTAGTAAATTGTGATCCAAAAAAAATGTGTCCACAAAAAAACTGTTAAAATAGTCTGAAATTATATAAAAAAAAACAAAAAATGAAATTTTAATACACAGTTAAACAACAAATATTATTAATTATTTAGTGATTATACTAATTGCTACAAAAAAAATAATACTTTAAATGTTGCGCCCTTTAAATACACTAAACAATGCATATAATAGACTTTTAATAGACTCTATACTATAGAGAGTATAGTAATGTAATAGACTATTACTAATAGTAATTATCAATAGAGTTATGCATTACATACTGTACTATGAAAAACATACAAATGTTTTGTAATAATAATCATATGTTTAGTTAGTTTTGTAAATAAATAAATAAATGTCATTTAAATTATTAATATTTTTTAAAAATTCAATTTTAAGTTTAATCAAAACTAAATTATAATCAAAGTAAGTGTGACCTCAAAAAAATACAGTACTAAATAACAGCAACACTTATGTTACACTACGGGACACAACTGGCCACTGGATTAAGTGATTGGCCACCGGCTAACTGGGCCGGCAATCTATGGGGACAATTGACGGACAAATTATATGTTTTTGAAAATGTTTTAATTAGATATCAAAATTCAATCAGTTATTAACTGCTAATACATGACATACGGACAGCGGGCACCTAATAATCAGTTGAAATCAATTTGCGGTCAAATTAGCGGATAATTTGGATAACTGTGCACTGTATGAGCACCGATAGATATGGGGTAGACAGGTAGGTCACAAAAAACAATCAATATTAGCGATTAAACTAAATTAAATGACACTAATTCGGGATATTATACAAAAAACATAGGCTATGCAATCGCTTGTCGGCAATTATCGGGTGGTCAGCGGTCACTTTCGGGTCAGTTTAGGATCTCAGCACATACTAGAGTTAATATGGCTACAGTTGGTCACCTAAACTGATGTATTGGTCAATCGGGTCCGGGAGCTACGGCCGCAACACTTGTCGGCCGCTTAGTATGCTAATCGGGAAAATGGCCAATTTGACGGTCAAATCGGCTGATTTGATCAAATTGTTTACTATCATCAGTTAGCTTATGAAAATATCTAGCAACTTATGTATTAATGGCCACTGGGCGGTCACGGGAACTAACCGAAAATGGTCAACTTACTTGATTTTTGAACGATGTACGTAAAAAAATGTATAATAAAATGGTCGTAAAGCAAAAAGCACTGGTATATAAAAATTATATATGCAATGAGCGCACAGGTAGTCTACAGTACAGTATAAGGTAAGCACTGTTACTATAAACTGGTTTTACTATGTCTTTCATATCTCTCTCTCTCTTTCTCTCTGTTTTCTCGCACAAAATGGTCAAAATCCTAGACTATAGTGACGATCGCTGATTGGTTGAATTGTCGTCCAAAAAAGGGTAGACTACACATACAATGGGTTCAATACAGTAATAACGTTGTCGTCTATATATATATATATTAAATACTGTCAAACAATTTGGCATACATGAGCTTAAACATACAGGGACTTAATTTAATTCATTTTTTTTATAAAAAAAATTAATATATTTTACCTAGTTTATTTTTTTTATAAAAAAAATAATTTAATTTAATATACATATGTTTACTATATGTGTGCATGATTAAATATTTTTTTTTAATAATACTAAAATAATCTATTTATATAATTAGCTATATAATAAAAGCTCAAATAAAAATAATAATAAAAAAAATAATTAAACAATTAATTAATTAATTGTTTTATTTTCACTAATCAATAACTAAATTATAAACTTACTATATGTTTAATATTACTAATAATAATAATAAGATATTTTTAGTAATTTGTAAACTAAATATACAGTATATAAATTATATAAGTATAAAATCAATGGAAAAAATAGTTAAATATTTTAATGAATTTTTATTTTTCAATGAATAACAAAAATTGTATACAAATTTGTTTTTACTGGAGGTATATAAATAATTAATAAATCAAATAGTTTTATTATATAGAAAATAATATCTATAAAAAAATATATAAACATACAAATATTATTCATAATTTTTTATTATTATTATTAATACAAACAAACAAAAATTTATTTTTCAATTTACAAACTTTTATATAAATTAAAAAAAATTGTTTGTTTTTTGTTGAATATAATCTCAAAACAAAAATTTTTGAATTCCAAAACTGTCTCAACATTTTATTCAATCGATAGACCGATAAATAATATAAATCATAATTATTATAATTGATAATCAATAGCTATATATATGTTAAAAATAAATTGAAAAACAAAAATCATTTTTTTAGAAATAAATATTATTTTATTTTATAATTAGAAATATGAAAAAATACAAAAACAGTATATATTGTAAATATTTTTTTTTGTAATTCATGATTTTATTGCAAATATTTAATTAACATAATTTTTTAAAATTTATTTTGTCTACTATTATGTATTACATACACATAGAGAGTCACACAATAATATAAAATAAACATAAATAAAATTTATATAATATGTATATATATTTAAATTATAATTTAAGTTTGAATGCCAATTATGATAAAATATTTATGAAAATACATAATAATAATAAATTTCAGATTATTATTAATAATTTTACAATTATTAATAATAATTTCACCCTACACCATTAACCATATTACCGCCACCAATAAATTTTTAAAAAATATATAATAATTAAAAGTTTGAATAAATGTAAACAAATACCTATAAAAAGACATATTAAAACTAAAAAATTATTTTTTTATATAATAAAATTTTATGGTTTTTTTATATAATAAAAATTTTATGATTTTTTTGTATTTATATATTTTTCTATAGTTTTTTTTCTGTACAAATAATTTTTTAGTTTTTTTAATATATTTTTTAAAGTTTTGCTTATATTGTAATTATTAAAAAAAATTCAAACACCAAAACATCAGTAGTTATCCTATTGTTTGGTATTTTTGTCCATTAAATCCATATATTGTTTCCATTCTTCTTCAGTCATATAATTCAATAGTTGTTTATTTTCATCAAAAAACTTCGTCCATTCAACTAAACCATTGCGCAGACAATCCAGTTGTTCCATATATGCCACATGTTTTTCCAATTGTTTTCTATATTCCTCTCTAATAGCCATCTCTTTTAACTTCAATTTATTTCTATATTCTTGCGAAGCCTTCTTCTGTCGGGTTTTTGTGTTTTTGACTCTGACTTCGACAGGCAGTGGTGGCCGACCTCTCTTGACTGTTGAACAGCAGTCAATAGTGCCGCCGGCGTCGCCACCCGGTTGGTCACTACTAGCGGCAGAGTATTGATGACCGGACGGGCCGGGAATTGGTCGATCGTAATCAATCTGATTGTCTGTTGTTGTTGGCGCCGATCGTTTGCGGCCAACAACTATCGGTCGGTCTTGTTTGTCGTCCACTGGCAAACAGTTTTCTTGATTTTGCAAACCCGACGGCTCCGCGATTTGGTCTATATCTATTGATTCCGATGCTATTTGGCAGTCACGCATGATAGTGGCCAGTGTATCGCTGCCGATATATTTTTGGCACTGGTTATCGATATTAGTTTCAACAGTGACCACATCAATGGCTACTGTATTACTGCCGTCATTATCGCCAATATCTATGATATTAATTGATTTTAAGTCATCCATATTGTTGATTGGCTTAGTTATAGTTGACATATCAATTTGGGTTAATTTTTCAAATGGCAGGGTCAATGTATTATTAGCTAGATCATTTTGTTGTTGTTGCTCCACTGATTGCATATTATAAATGGGAACCAGTAGTTCATATGTCGGCTTATTAGGTATGGGAGCCAATTGAAAGCGTTGGTCCGAACCAGTCCAGTAAAAGTCTTTAATCTTTACAAACTTTTGAGACACATCGTTAGCTACGGTATTGTTGATCCAGTAATCAGCCGATGGTTTCATTTTATTCAAAACTGAATTACAATAGTCGGCCATAATTTTTTGTGTTTCAATGGTCTCATTATTATTAGTATTATCATTATTGACACCATTATTATTGTTTAAATCTTGCCCACCATCGGTGCCCATCATTGATAATACGGCGTTAATACCATCAAACGAGTTATGGTCATAATCCGTGTTACTCATCGAGTCTGTGGTGTGTCTCAAAACCGAATAATCCGATCCGTTTTTATCAACATTGACCACCAAATCATTGTCATTAGTGTCAGCTCTCGACTCACACATACTCGACTGTAGAGTATCGGTGACGTCCATAGCGTTATCGTTGGCCATATCGGGTACAATAACCTGCAGCTGTTCGGCCACTGGCAATACCTTATCGTCATTATCATCAGCATTCTTGTCCATCACTGGCGGTGATTGGATCACCTCTTGTTGGCCACCGCTGTCATTTTCATTGCCATCACCGCCGCCGTTATTTTGGCCATTCGGGTAACTAAAGCGTTGGTCCCAACCAGTCCAGTAAAAGTCTTTAATCTTCACTAACTTTTGAGACGCACAGTTAGCGTCCAAAGGATTATAAATCCAGTAATCAGCCGACAGTTCCCATCTGTTTTCATCAACACTGACCACCACATCATTGTCATTAGTGTCAGCTCTCCACTCACACATACTCGACTGTAGAGTATCGGTGACGTCCATAGCGTTGTCATTGGCCATATCCAGTCCAACAATAGGCTGCTGTTCAGCCACTGGCAGTGCTTTGTCGGCAACATCATTGTCCATCATTGGCGGTGATTGGACCGCCACTTGTTGGCCGTCGTCTTCATTGCCATTGACACTGCCATCAGCGCCATCGTCGTCGTCATTATTTTGGCCATTATTTGGGTACAGAAATGGCATCACTTCTGTGTCGTATCTGTCGGATGTAGTATTTTCTAACAACCACTTCAGATAATCATCACTCAAGCAATCGATATCATTAATATTATCTTCATTTTTATCTTTTTCATCGGCAGTGTCGTCGTCGTCGTCATCGATAACCTCAAATGTATTGCTGTTGGACACCGTAGTCATCATTGGTGACCGATTGGTGGTCGAAATGTTGAGATCATCGTAATCCCAATTGTCTGAATTGATGATAAAATTGTTGTCCAAATAGTCAGACATTATTTGATGAGACAGTCAGTGGTCTCCTTCGTGTAGTATCTCTACTCTACAGACTCTCTCTCTCTCTTTCTCTCTCTAAGTCTCTCTCTTTCTCTTTCTCTATCTCTTGAAAATTGTTATCCAAAAAAACTGTTGAAATTATCTGAAATTATTAAAAAAATAAAATAAAATTTTTTAATACACAATCATACAATTATTATAATTATATATTTTTGTGATTATCACTAGTGCTACAGTAAAATAAACTTTTAAATTGTTGCGCCCTTTAATATAATACACTACACAATGCTATATAGCCTATAGAGTACAGTACAGTACAGTATATGCCGTAGTAATGTATTATACATTGTATAGTAATTATCAATGAAGTTATGCCTTACATACTGTACTATAAAAACATTACAAATGTTTTGTAATAATAATAATCATATGTTTAGTTATTTTTGTAAATAAATAAATAAATGTCATTTAAATTATTAATATTTAAAAAATAAATATTTTTTATAAAATTCAATTTAAATTCAGTCTAAAAAAATTATTATTATAATTATAATCAAAGTTATAGTGTAACCTCAAAAAAAAAATACAACACTTATGCTACACTATGACGGCGGGGACACAACTGGCCACTGGATTATAGTGATTGGCCACCGGCTAACTGGGCCGGCAATCTATGGGGACAATTGACGCACAAATTATATGTTTTTGAAAATGTTTTAATTAGATATCAAATTCAATCAGTTATTAACTGCTAATACATGACATACGGACAGCGGGCAGCTAATAATCAATTGAAATCAATTTGCGGTTAAATTAGCGGACAATTTGGACAACTATGCAGTGTATGAGCACCGATAGATATGGGGTGGACAGGTAGGTCACAAAAAACAATCAATATTAGCGATTAAACTAAATTAAATGACACTAATTCGGGATATTATACAAAAAACATAGGCTATGCAATCGCTTATCGGCAATTATCGGGTGGTTAGCGGTCACTTTCGGGTCAATTTAGTAGCTCAGCACATACTAGAGTTAATATGGCTACAGTTGGTCACCTAAACTGATGTATTGGTCAATCGGGTACGTGAACTACGGCCGCAACACTTGTCGGCCGCTTAGTATGCTAATCGGGAAAATGGCCAATTTGGTGGTCAAATCGGCAGATTTGATCAATTTGTTTGCTATCATCAGTTAGCTTATGGAAATATCTAGCAACTTATGTATTAGTGGCCACTGGGCGGTCACGGGAACTAACCGAAAATGTATAATTTTAGGTGATTTGAAGGGGATTTTTGTTTGAGGCACACAATACAACGTAAAACAACGTAATATTCAAATCCTAATGGACGTCAAGCACTGGTATGTGTTTAGTCAATAGCACTGTTACTATACATTATATGCTTATCCTATATATCTCTATGTCTTTCTCTTTCTTGTATAAAATCCTAGACTATAGTGACGATCGCTGATTGGTTGAATCAATAGTAGGGTTTGACTGCACCTACATTTTCTAACTACTGGTTCGGGCATTAATAACGTCTATATATATATTTAATACATACATGTGTAGTTTTTATACTGTTATAAAAGCTATTTGGCATACAATTTGAACAGGGTGTTTAATAATTTTTTTAAATATTTAACTTACGTAGCTTATATTTTTTTAAATAATTTTTTTTATATTAGAAATTTAATTTTAATAATATTTAATGTGTTTTTGTTTGTACACAAATTACAATATATTTATTTTATTTTTTTAAATACATACATGTGTAGTTTTATACTGTTAAAAGCTATTTGGCATACAATTTGAACAGGGTTGAATAAATTTTTAAATTTAACTTACGTAGCTTATTTTTTAAAAATTTTTAAAAATAAAATTTATTTATATTAGAAAATATAATTTTATTATACATGTGTTGTTTGTACACAAATTACAATATATTTATTTATTTTTTAAAATTATAGTACTGTACTTATTATTATTATAAAATTATTTATATAAAGTTATGTAGTTTATTTTACTATGTGTGCAGTGATTAAATATTTTTTATAATAGTTAATTAAAACTAAATTAACATTATTAATAAAACTATATAAAAACAAAATTATGATTTTTTTGTACGCGAGTATGATTAACAATTGAATATCAATTATTTTATTTAAAAATTAATTAAAAACAAATTTTTCGATTAAAATTAAGTTAATATATGGTTAAAAACAAAAATACTTTTTTTGTATTTTTGAGAAAAAAAACATTTATCAAGTGTTTAATCATTTAATTTTGTTTTATTTAACACTAATTTAAACAACTTATTTAATTATTTGTAATACAATTGTTAAACAATAATAATAACATTTTTATTTACTATATTTATAACTTAAATATAGTATATATAAACAAAAATCAATGAAATAATTTAAATTAGTTTAAAATTTTAATGAATTTTGTTTATCAATGCATCACAAAAATTGTATACAATTTTGTTTGTTTGTTTTTTACGGGGTATATAAAATTGAATAAATCAAATAGTTTTATTATATATAACCTAATAGTATATATAGAAAATAATACCTAATATATATATATATAATCATAAAACTAACATTTTTTTTAATAGTGATTTTGTTGATAATAATTATTGTTAATAAAAAAAATGATTTTTCAATTCACAAACTCTTATATTTAATTTTTTTACAAAAATTGTTTTTTTTCAATGAATAAAATGTCAAAAAACAAATATTTAACTAAAAAAAATGTTTTAACATTTCAATCAATAGACAATAGACATCATATCCGTATCGCCATCGATATCATCGAGTTGTAGGCCATCGACACTACTCTTCCATAAGTTCATGAATTTGATGGCAAACGCTTCCAAATGGATGATCGGTTTGGATCCCAAACGCATCCAATGTTCGCAATCGGCGGCCATTTGCATCAGTCGGCTCTTCATCGGGTCGTCCAGACATCTCTTCAGCAAATCTTTGGTCAACTGGCGAACTATTAGATCGTTTGGTACCAAATGTGTCTGCAGTTCGTAGAATGCGCTTCGGATTTCTAGTACTTTCTTCATTGACGGCGATTCCGTTAACTTTTTGGCCAAACTGGCCAACTGTTGTCGCCATTGGGGTTGCGGTACATCAATCAGACCCGTAGTGTGTGTGCCGGCAGTGTTGAGACCCGTTTGGCGAACATTATACGTCTCGAGCATCAGTAGTGCTCTGCGAAGATTGTGATCGCAATCGTTGGCAATTTTGTCGGCCATCTGTGCGGACAACGAAAAGCACTCCTTTTTGGCCACCGATACGAGTACTGATGATATATTGGCCGAAGTCGGCGCTCCGTTACGCAACAACAAACATCGCGATTTGACGGCCGGTATGATTGGCGACGCGCTTTCGGCTATAAGTATCACACGACAGGTGACCACATACTTCTCGAGTGTACGGCGCAGGGCGTGTTGGGCTTCGCGAGTCAATCGGTCGGCTTCGGTGATTACGACAACTTTGAACTTATGTTTGTCGGTCAGCGATGCACTGGTAGCCAACTCTTTGATCAGCTGCTGGACGACCAGCCGATCGAAAAACTGGGCGTCACTCGGATTAACTTCGAGGTGATAGTTACTGGACATTACTGTCTGGTCAAACTTGCGGCCGTAGCTGGTCTCGAATTGTTTGTGTTCCAGTTTTAGCCGCTCGACACCGACGCCGAACACCTCGCGCAGCAGTGCATAGGCACGGGTTTTCTTGCCCGAACCCGACGGTCCGTAGATCAGTAGATGCGGGAAATTGCCGGTCGATATTAGCCGTCGCATACGTTGACATTGTTGCTGATTGAAGTCACACTTGGCCAGTGTTGTCGGCCGATATTTGTCGCACAATAAAGACATAGCTAACTACTACTGTTTGGTGGTCAGCGTGTGTTCGGGTTGTTAGCTAATTGTCCGATCAATTGATTGATTTCAATGATTAACTAAAAATAATTGTTTGTTTGTTTGACTTATAAATACAAATACAATACACATATAATAACCAAACACTTTGGCGGGCAATACATGTGTATAAACAATAGCTATGCCTAAGTAATAGCTAATAGTAGGCGAAATATTGGTACTATTTTTAACAGTATTTCTAATGCTAAATGTATAGAGAAAATAGTACCAAATTATAGGGTTAGGTAATATTTTTGTGGGTCAGTTAGGGTTTAGTTATAATTATTTTATTTTTTATTTTTTGTTTGTTTGATTTATGCACTAATTAAATAATTCAATTAAATATATAAGTATCATATCATTAAATTATTTAACAATTTTTGTTTGTTTGTTAAACTTGATTAAAATATTAACTTAAATTTTATACAAATAAAATATAAAAATATAATTGAATTTTTATATAAACTGTAAATAAAAATAATATCTATATCTATCTTTATTTTTTGCACATATTAAAAAATTAATTTAAATTAAAATATAACAACAAAAAAACTAAATAGAGTAAAATTAACTATGAATTTATAATTAATTTGTGTTTTATTTTATTTATTTTTTTTAAAAAAATTACTTTACAAATAATATTTTTTTTAAGACAAATATATATATTTTTTTTATAAATTTACGACAACTTTCACAAAAAAAAAAGAATTCTATAATTGAAACCAATTATTATTAGTATGTTTTTAAAGTTATGTTAATCATTGAAATCATTATAAGTTATGTTTTAAGTTTAAGACATAAATAAATGTTTTCAATATTAATATCAGTGTTGGCAGAGACAAAATGTTTGTATAATACAAAGCGTATTATACAGTATAATACAATGTAAAATACATGACCAATTTGGCTTACAAAAAAACAAATTAGCACCACCAATGGCTAAAAAAAGCATTTGATATAAGCAAAGTAAATAATGTTTTATAATAAATATAGATTTAATATTATTTTTTTTTGTATATTGAATTTCATTTTTTATTTTAAATTACTTAATTTTTTATAACTTAGAAACAAAACGATTGTTAATAATATTACTAATGCATTTTCTAGCAATTATATTTTTACTAAATATTTTAAAGTAATTTTTGTTTTTAACATAATATATATATTAAAATTTTGAAAATTTTGTATAATACATGCAGTACATTGTATTTTACTTTATTATACAAAGTAAAAATTCAAAACCTTGTATTTTTCCAACCCTGATTAATATCAAATGACTAATCGTATTGTTTGTGTTTTTTTTTTAAAAAAAAAATATCAATTAATGAATTTTAATAATATTAAACAATTATTACAAAAATTTCAAATTTGAAATTTAATATAAAACTTTAGTGATAAACAAATTTATTAGGAAAACGGGATGATGTTTACTAAATGTTTTAATAGTTTTCATGGATATAAATAGTCTATATAAATTATATAAATTATTGAATATTTATTATGAAACTATTGAAACTACAGTTTCAGTATTGAAAAAAAAAGTTTTTAATAATTGTTAAGATAATAAATATTAAAAAAAAAAAAATCTGACAATTAGTCTACTACTTAAAAAATGAATTCAACCAAATACTACGCTAAGGTATTATAATATTTGTTTTTATTGATTTAATAAAATATTTTTAAATATAATTTATTTTTTATATGTATATAAATTATACTAAAAATAAATAATATATCTTATATATATATATATTATATTTCATATAATATTTAACAGTATTTATTATACTAAATATATACTTGTTGTTACATTTATAGTATTATATTATATGTAACAACAAGTATATATATTTAGTATAATAAATACTGTTAAATATTTTATGAAATATAATATATATATATATATAAGGTATATTATTTATTTTTAGTATATATTTAAAAATATAATTTATCTTTAATATTTTATTTTACTATTTAAAAATAATAATAAATAATTTTTATATTAATTTATATTAATATATATATATAATATATATACTGTAGACTATTGGTGATGGAGTGATCAATAATCCACAAACAATGACACCGGAGATACTTCTATTGAAACCAATTATATTAATAATTATATCATTGATTGAAATCATTATATGCACAGTAATAGTCATACAATTGAAGCGTGTGTTTAATGGCCAGACATTACAGGACAGGACTAACGATCACGAAATGGTTAATCACAACAACAATGACAACAACAACAACAACAACAACAACGACAACAGCAATTAAGATACAATTAATTTAAATATTTTTGGTTAAAAATTTTTATTAGATATTCAATAACATTAAAACATAATGTATTATATTTAATAATTATAACTATAGTTTATTTGTAATGTATTTTTAAAAAACAATAAATGATTTTTATTTTTAATAAACATAAATAAATTGTTAGCTATTTTTTAAAAAATTAATTAGATATGCTAGAATTAAAATACATTAAATTATAATATTTGTTTTGGTTTAGATTGTTTAGGTTTTGGTTAGATATTCAATACAGTAATGTTAAGATATTTAAACATTTAATTAACAATTATATTTATAATAATTACAATTTCTAAAAATAAAAAATAAATAAATTTTTTATATTTTTTATAGTCAATTAAAATAAATATTAAAATACAATTAATTTTAATTACAAATTATTATACCGTTATTATACAGTATTTGTCTTTATATAATACAGTATTAAATAGTATTAAATAGTTAGAAAAAATAGGATTTAGGAACAAATGTAGATTATAGAAAGCCAGTAGAAAATTTCACTTAAAATTTGTCCACTAAACCAACCCCCACACACACCCAACCACTTCCTAACCTCACACCCACCCAAACTAACCGTAACTAAATAATAATTAAATAATAAAACTAAAATTTTATTTGTGTATAACTGCATAAAAACAATAATTTTCTACTGGCTGTCTATAATATACATTTAAACCAGAATTTATTATACTTATTAAACTTTTATAATGTTAGTGTTGGGACACTGTATTAATAATCCAATCAATATGTTTAGATATGCGAACAAATATTATGACAGTATCGGTATGTCTGGACTGACAGGTAGGCAACTTAGTTGTGACACCCATAGCTAAACCTATTAGTACTGCCCGACCACCACCACCACCACCACCATCACTACCACTACCACTACCCGTCATAACATTGTTAACACTTTTATGATTATTGTTGTCCATTACATACTGAACCAATGGTCCACCAGAATCACCCTATAGTATATTATTTGAATAATTTATTATTATTATTTTTTTGAATATAATATATATTACTTATTTAAAAAAAATTATTTAAAATTATAAATAAAACATTTTTATTGAATTATTATTAAATTAATAAGTTAACCATAAGTTGTTAAACAACTCTTATATATTAATTCTAATAATATTAATAATATTAATTAAGAATAATTTTATAGAATTTTATTTATTTTATAATTAATAGTTTATTACTTACATTACAGATACCGGTTCCCACATATAATGGATATCTTTGACTAAAAATCAAATAACTGTAGTTATCTGACGCGTTATTAGATGATTCAGTCATTAGAAACCAACCCTTCCTGAGTGGACCCAAATTAATTACATTATCGTCAGTATCACCGAAACCGGCAAACACTGCCAACTCTTTATCGGTGTTAACAATGTCTCTGTCGGGCAAACAAATGGCATTAACTGTCGGATACCCACCCGTCGACTGTGTCATCAATATCTGTGAATCCAATTTCAATAATGCGATGTCATATCCTTGCCTTAAACCTGGGATATGACTGAATGTCGTATAATTGGGTTGAATGACAAACATATTCACACCGTATACTTGATTTGCTTGACTGTAGTCATAACCCAATCTTACACTTATTGTGTGATCGGATCTTATTATAAATTATTAGTTAAATAAAAGTATATTTTTAATTAAAATGTTTGATTCATAAATTTGTAAAATTTTTAAAAACGTCATTACAATACACAATGTGCTGCTGTTATAATCCAATAGCTATTCAATATAACTCCAGTACACCATTTACTTAATTAAAACACATAATCGTTTAATAATAAAAAATTATTTAAATTTAATTATATTAATTATAAGTAAAGTTTGTCAAAATTATTTGATTTGTTTTTATAAACTCTATATTTTACTATTTGTAGGAATCTACAAGTTAATCTATTATTTGATATTGTTTAAAATAATAAAAAAATAGATATTTCAATAAATTTTTTATGCTAAATATTTGTTTTGTATACTTTTTATTTTATAATTAAAAATTGGTAGTTGAGTTGAGTAGAAAAAAATAAAATATATTTTTTTTATTTGGGAAATTTATTATTAAAACATCAATATTTTTTGTAGTGGGGGTGAGTAATAAACCATTATTGCAAATGTATATTAATAATTACAAATACCTATTATATTTGAAACCCCAAAATGTTTTGTATATATCAATGAATGCAATCCACGGCCACTCAAACGGTTGAGCTAACCGTCCGTTTTGAACACTAGTCGTCACATTTGATGACCACTTAAGACAGTGTCCGCTCATAAACAGTGACTGATCATTGATACCACACTTGTCCTCTGTTACCGACGGATAGTGTTTGATACATGAATGCAAACAATTAGTTAAAACAATTGATAAAAATATTATATAAAATTTTATTTCTATAAACATATCTTTAATATTAAAATAATATATAAGAATATAAGTTTATTTTATAAAATAAAAAATATCTGTTTTTTGAATTTCTTAGATTAAACTATTAAATAAAAAATAATATTTTAGATGAAATTTAATATAATACTTATATAATACTTTTTTAAAATTTCAATCTTACATTATATTAAAAAATTATCTCATATTAATAATAAAGTTGATATGCAATTTAATTACATATTTAAAAAATAGAAAAATTAATTAAAATATTGTTTTTAATACTTACGAAATAAAATATAACATTTGTTTAAATAGGATATTGTAAAACAAACTATTAGACAATAACTTTCAAAATATTATGTCAAATGAGAAATAGTTTGTAATATTAATTAGACATTTATATTATATAACAAAAAACATTTAGTAATTGTCATACATTTGGATTTATTTTTATTAAACAAAAATTTTTTTAAAAACAACAAACAAACAGTCATAGAGAGAATGAGTGAGTGAGTGAGTGAGAAATAATAACTGTTTTTTAATATAATTAATTTTTTTAAATATATAGTATATTTTTACAAATGGAAATGTTTTTATAAATATTATTATTAATTTTGATTATTTGATTAAAAGCTTAAATAAATGTTTTCAATATTAATATCAAATGAATAATCGTATTGTTTGTGATTTTAAAAAATATCAATTAATGAATTTTGATAATATTAAACAATTATTAAATATTTCAATTTGAAATATAATATAAAACTTTAGGGTAAACAAAATTATTAGAAAACGGGATGTTTTTGTTATATTCAAAAATATGAATCATTGTATTTAAATAGTTTTCTCATATGTATTGTATTTAAATTAATAAATATATTATAAACTATTAAATAGTTTCAGTATTGATAAAAGTTTTCATTTGTTAAGATAATAGTAATTATTTTTTATTAATCTGGCATTTAATCTACAAATTATAATGAATTCAACCGAATACTACTCTCAGGTATTATTTGTTTTTTATTGATTTATTTAATGATTTTATATTTAACATATATATTTTTATAAATTTAAAATATAAACTTAATATAATAAATATTATTAAATATTATAAGTGTATTATCAATTTAAAAAAAAATATCATTCAATATTAAAATATTAATTACATATTAATAATTAATTAATATATATATATTCATATATACTGTATATATATATATATATATATTATAGGTTATTGATAGAGGAGTGTTTCAAAATCCACAAACAATGACACCGGAGATACTTCTATTGAAACCAATTATATTAATAATTATATCATTGATTGAAATCTTTATTTGCATTGTTATTGTCGTACAATTGAAGCGTGTGTTTAATGGCCAGACATTACAGGACAGGACTAACGATCACGAAATGGTTAATCACAACAACAACAACAACAACAACAATAACAACATTTAAGATACAGTTAATTAAAATATTGATGATTTAAAGTTTTGGTTATATATTCAATAACAATAAAACTTAATGTATTATATTTAATAATTATAATTATATTTTATTTGTTTTAAAAATGCAATAAATGAATTTTTTTTAATAAACATTAAAAAATTATAAGTTATTTTTGAAAAAAAAATTAATTAGAGATGCTAGATCAAATTTTTTAATGAAAAGGATATTTAAAAAATATTAGAGGACAACTAATATTTAATTAAATCTAATTAATGATTAATTTATTTTTAAATACTGTTTCAATACTGATATATTAGAAAATTAAATTATTTTTTCTCTGTTTAAATACACGCATAAAAATATATTTAATAAAATTTTTAAAAAATTTAAATTAACAAATCAATTTATTATGTTAATAAAAAATCTAAATTCTATAGTTTATTAAGTTTATTATTTATCAAAATTTTTTTTATGTTAAATTGTTAACATTTATAATAATTGTAATGTAAAAATATAAAATTAAAGGACAAATTCATTTCAGGAGATTTATCCAAAAAAAAAACTAATAATAGATTCCTATTATAAATAAATTCATTTATTTTAGACTATATTTAGTCTATTATTTTGCGGACACAGTATTGATAATCCAATCGATGTGTTTAGATATGCGAACAAATATGGAAATAGCATCGCTATGTTTGGACTGACAGGTAGTCGACATAGGATAGACACTCCTTATTATACCTATTAGTACTGCCCGACCACCACCACCACTACCACCACTACTTGTCATAACACCTTTATGACTGTTGTTGTTGTCCATTACATACTGAACCAATGGTCCACCAGAATCACCCTATAGTATATTATTTGAATAATTTGTGAATTTAGATATTATATAAATAACTTAAACAAAAAATAAAACTTTTATTTAAATTATTAGAGTAAATAATTTAAACTTAATTAAACATCAAATTGAATTTTTATCTAATAGTATTATAGTACTTACCTGACAGATACCGGTTCCCTCAATCAATGGATATCTTTTACTTAGAATCAAATAACTGTAGTTATCTGTCGAGTTTTTAGACGACTCAGTCATCTGAAGCCAACCCGTCCGGAGTGGACCCGAATTAATCACATTATCTTCGATATCACCGAAACCGGCAAACACTGCCAACTCTTTATCGGTGTTAACAATGTCTCTGTCGGGCAAACAAATGGCATTAACTGTCGGATACCCACCCGTCGACTGTGTCATCAATATCTGTGAATCCAATTTCAATAATGCGATGTCATATCCTTTGTTAAAACCTTTGATATGATTATATGCCGTATAATTGGGATGAATGACATACATATCCACACCGTATACATGACTTTCATGGCTGTAGTCATTACCCAGTTTTACACTTAGTGTGTAATCAGATCTTATAAATTAATAGTTAAATAAAATTATCATTTTTTTTGAGAAAACATTTCATAAACAATTATCAATTTACTTTATACAATGCGCTGCTGTTATAATCCAATAGCTATTCAATATAACTCCAGTACACCAATACCTTAATTTGGATATATAACAGACAATTTTTTATAATAATAATAATAATAATAATATTAACAATAAGTAATTAATTTTATTATATTAATTATAACTAAATAACGGATAAAATATCTATTTTATATTGAGTGATATTGACGAAAAGTTTTACTAAATACTATATATATATAGTTCTATATATAATATATTTAATAGATATTAATTTTTAAAATTAATTATATGATGTTTGTTAGTTTTTATTTTATAATTTAATTTTTTTCCGGATTAGGGGATGAAAAATTAAATATTGAATATATTATGAAACTTCACTCCATTGGGAAGTTTCCCGAATTCTAGTTATAAGTTATTAGTTTTGATATTATATTTAAATATGATTTTTATAGTAATTTCTAATCTAAATACCAATTATATCTTAAACCCAAAAATGTTTTGTAAAAATCAATGAATGCAATCCACGGCCACTCAAGCGGTTGAGCTAACCGTCCGTTTTGAACATTTGTCCCAACATTTGATGACCACTTAAAACAGTGTCCGCTCATCAACAGTGACTGACGATTGATACCACACTTGTCCTCTGTTACCGACGGGTAGTGTTTGATACGTGAGTGCAAACAATTAGTTAACACAATAAAGTTTAGTAATAAAGATAATATCATTTTAATTGTTAAAAATATTTAAATTTAATATTTTTATTAACAATAAATGTAAAATTGTTGTTGTAAATAATACTAATTAAATAAAAATTAACACTACTTATTATTATAATTATGTTTGATACGTGAATGCAAACAATTAGTTAACACAATTGATAAAAATATTATATAAAATTTTATTTCACGAAACATATTAGATAACTATAATATTACAGTAAAATATTATTTGAATAAAGTTTATTATTTATATATTTTTCAAATTATTATACAAAAAATTTAACTATTATTATAAAAATTAATATAATACTTATAAAGTTTTATATTTCAAAATTACATTATATTAATAATTATTATAATTTACTTTATCATTGAAATAATATGCATTTAATTAAATCTAACACTAAGTAACATGTATTATATTTTAAGTGTAATTTGTTTAATAGTAATAACTTATTAAAAGCAATTATTATAAATTATATATAAATTATTAGATTTTAAGATTACTTGTCCTGTCCTGTACTGTATATTTTAAATGTTAACATAACTTTTAACAAATTGAACATTAATTCAGATGCATTACTAAATTAATTTTAAAAAAATATAAATGCATAAAAATAATAAATTTATAAAATTAATAATATTTTTTAATAAAAATTATTATTGATATTTAAATTAATATATAAATAATTTATATTCTACTGTTTATTATCTTATTTTTATCTAATATTAAATAGAGAGAGAGAGAGAGAAAGAAAGAGAGAGAGAGAGAGAGAGAGAGAGTAATAACTATTTTTGAAATATATATGTAAGACTAGCAGTTTTTTAAAGTTATAATTATTATATAATAAAAGTTTTGTTGCAGTCGTATGTTAACCACTAGTTCACTAGTTGGTGATGATGATGATGATGGTGATGATGGTAATAATTTGAGACAATTTAATTGATTAAAATAAGTTTATATTTTATTAAACTAATAAAACAATTGGATTAAATACAATGATTATAATATTATAATATTAAAACACAATTAGTTTATAAAGTATTAAAATAGGGTAATAAGTGGTGTCAATGAGTGGATCACTTCTATTGAATCAAGTATCTGATCCCGTGATCTCATGGACAATAGGTTTTATACTTAATTAGTTTGAGGCGTATTGCTATAGAAGTTACCAATCAAAAGTCAGATTTGTTGTTGCATTAGTACTCCATTGGAGTACTAAGTATTGATGCAACAGTGGAAGGCCTAACCATTATCTGTAATATCTTGGAGGGTATTGACCGTGCAAACTTGGTACCAATTAATTATGATTTATTATTAGATACTTTACTCTGAAATCAAATTTGGCTTCAATTAGCGCGCGGGAAGTGCTTTTTATTTGGCATTATATTCTGTGATATATAGGGTTTTATAAGTAAAGTAAATATGTCTTAGAATGAAGGAAACTGTAATTAATGCCAGTTGTCTCTAATAGTGGACAACATATATAAACAAATATATTTTATGTGAGAATGTTTTTTAAGTAAAAACATATAACTATTTATTATTTAGATTAAATATTTTTCACATGTCTTACATATATTATATTTTACTAATGGAAATGTTTCTATAAATATTATTATTAAAATAGTCATTGAAATCATTATAAGTTATGTTTTATTAAATTTATTAATATTGTTTTTTTTATTAAAGGCTTATATAAATGTTTTCAGTAGTAATATCAACCGACTAATAGTATTGTTTGTGTTTTTTAAAAATAAATATCAATTAATGAATTTTGATTATATTAAACAATTATTAAAAATTTCTATTTGAAATATAATATAAATCTTTAGGGTAAACAAAATTATTAGAAAACGGGATGTTTTGGTTATATTAAAAAATATGAATCATAATATTTAAATAGTTTTCTCATATGTATTGGATATAAATTAATAAACATTATTAGAAACTATTAAATAGTTTTAGTATTGAAAAAAAGTTTTCGTTTGTTAAGATAATAGTAATTATTTTTTTTAAATTGACAATTAGTCTACAATTTTAATATGAATTCAACCGAATACTACTTTCAGATATTATTTGTTTTTTATTGATTTATTTAATGATTTTATTTGTAACTTATATTTTTATGAATATAATATATAAAAGTAATTTAAATTTAATATACTGTAGTAAATAATGTAAAATATTATAAATGTATCATTATCTATTTTTTTTAAAAAAATTAATTTTATTTTATTATTAAAACTAATAATTAATTAATATATATATATATATATATAAACTATAGCTATTTGGTGGAGTAATTCAAAATCCAAATACAATGTCACCGGAGATTCTTTTATTGAAACCAATTATATTAATAATTATATCATTGATTGCAATCATTATTTGTATTGTTATTGTCGTACACTTGAAGCATGTGTTTAATGGCCAGACATTACAGGACAGGAGGACTAACGATCAGGAAATGGTTAATCACAACAACAATAACAACAACAACTACAACAGCAATTAAGATACAATTAATTTAAATATTTTTTGATTTAAAGTTTTTATTAGACATTCAATAACATTAAAACTTTATATTTATTATATAATAAATAATTATAACTATACTTTATTTGAAATGCATTTTTTTAAAAAAAGCATTAAATGATTTTTTAAAATAAACATAAATAAATTGTTAGTTATTTTTAAAAAAAAATTAATTAGAGATGCTAGATCAAATTTTGAATGCAGATGATATTGTCTGCCCTGACTATGTTATGGTTTTATTTTTATAAATACAGTTATTTTTTAAAAAAAAATTAAATATAAGTTTTATATATAACCAGTTAAGAATGCTAGAAAGCATTTTCAGAAAAAAAACTTGAATAACATTGAAAACTATTAGTTTGTATAATTATAGCGGCTATATAATAACATATAAAAATTTAAAAACTGGTCAAATATACATAATATAAATATTGTCATGTATGGTATCAAATGACTCGCTTTGACAAAATAATCAAATACTCATGTGTGGTATCAAATGATTTAGTATAACAAAATAATCATCTATAATTATACTTTTTCCGCTTATACTTACTTTTTGTTCCCGTAGATATCAAAATTTTAATGCATATTTTTTATCCTTGTTTTTGATTGTTTATTCAAATCTATACTTTAAAAAAATTTCTTAAAATTTTTTTATACTTTTGCCGCCATTTAATAAAATTTATACTGATATATTATATCATATTTTTGATGCTCTAAACGTTAAAATTTTTACCTAATTTTTCTACTTTGGCCGCCATTTTCTTTATGTTCCCGAAGTGATATCAAAATTTTAATGTATATTTTTTATTCTTGTTTTTGATGCTTTATTCAAATCTATACTTAAAAAAAATTTTCTTAAATTTTTTTTTACTTTGCCCGCCATTTTGTCTATGTTCCCGAAGAGATATCAAAATTTTAATTAAACTTTTAAATACATTATTAGTAGTCCTCTAACCGAATCTGAAGTCAGAATTTCAAAATTCGCAAAAAAATATGCGACACACACACACACAGACAGACTCAAAAAGCCATTATAGATTTCAGTAAACAAAACTTTTATCAAAAATTACATTATAATTATTATAATTTACTATATCATTGTAATAATAAAGTTGATATGCATTTAAATAAATCTAACACTTAGTAAAATGTATTATATTTTAAAAGTGTAATTTGTATAATATTAAAAACTTATTAATATTGTGAAATAAGCAAATAAATTATTAGATTTTAATATTACATAACATTATTAATATTAAATAACACTAATTCAAATGGACAACTAAATTAATTTTTTATATTTAAAAGTATAAAAAAATATATTTAAAAAATACTATTTATTATTTAAATTAATATATCTTAATAATATATTAATTAAATAAAATTAGAGTTATATATATATATATATAATAGTATTATGTATAAATTGTATATCTATTTAATATTTATTATTTAGCTAATCATATATATTAAATATTTGTTATTGATTAACTAAATAATAAAAATTATATAGTTAGGAATGCATATATATATATATTTATTTATTTAATATTAAAAACCAATTTTCTAACAATTATTTGATTAAATTATAGTTTATTATTTTGCGGACACAGTATTGATAATCCAATCGATGTGTTTAGACAACCGAAGAAATAGCAAAATATTGTCGCTATGTCTCAACTGACAGACACCCAACTTAGGACTGATACCCAATAGTATACCTATTAGTACTGCCCGACCACCACTACCATCACTACCCGACATTTTGTGATTGTTGTCCACTACATACTGAACCAATGGCCCACCCGAGTCACCCTTAATTATTTAATAATTTAATGCATAGATATCATACAAATAGCTTAAATAATACATAAAATTTTTTTATTAAATTATTATTGTTAATCTAAATGAATTTATTAATATTAGTAATATTTTATTACATACCTCACAGCCACCGGTTCCCTCAATCAATGGATATCTTTTACTTGAAATTAAATAACAGTAGTTATCTGACGAGTTATTAGACGACTCAGTCATCTGAAAACAACCCGTCCGGAGTGGACCCGAATTAATCACATTATCTTCGATATTACCGAAACCGGCAAACACTGCCAACTCTTTATCGGTGTTAACAATGTCTCTGTCGGGCAAACAAATGGCATTAACTGTCGGATACCCACCCGTCGACTGTGTCATCAATATCTGTGAATCCAATTTCAATAATGCGATGTCATGTCCTAACTTGAATCCTCTGATATGATTATATACCGTATAATTTGGATGAATGATATACTTATCCACACCGTATACTTGATTTGAATGACTGTAATCATAACCTAGTTTTACACTTAGTGTGTAATCAGATCTTATAAATTAATAATTAAATAATATTAAACTTTGTTTTTAAAAAAAAAAAATCTTTGATTCATAAATTTGTTAAATTAAAAAAAAAGTTATATTACAATATACAATGCGCTGCTGTTATGATCCAATTGCTATTCAATATAACTCCAGTACACCAATACCTTAATTATTGTAATTGTATTTAATTAGTATTTAATTTCAATTATATTAATTATAATTAAAGTTTGGCTAAATTATCTAAATTACTATACAATTGAAATACATTTAAAAAAACATATATTATAACAAAATTGTATTAATTAAATATATATTGAATTCATATTTATATTATTAAATAAAATTTTATGCTAAATATTTGTATTTCGATACTAAAAATATTTAATTTTTTTTTTTGGGGGGGGGTGGTTGTAATTTTTGTAATAAACTATAATTGTAAATATATGTTAATAATTATATATACCATTTATATCTAATCCCCAAAATGTTTTGTATGCATCGATAAATGCAATCCACGGCCACTCTTCCGGTTGAGCTAACCGTCCGTTTTGAACATTTGTCGTCTCATTTGATGACCACTTAAAACACTGTCCGCTCATCAATAGTGACTGACTATTGATACCACATTTGTCCTCTGTTACCGACGGGTAATGTTTGATACGTGAGTGCAAACAATTAGTCAATATAATTGATAAAAATATTATATAAAATTTTATTGCTATAAACATAACTATTATATTAAAATAATATATAAGAATATAAGTTTATTTTATTTAATAAAAAATATCTGTTTTTTTAATTTCTTATATTAAATTATTAAATAAAAAAAAATATTTTAGATAAAATTCAATATAATACTTAAATAATAATTTTTAAAATGTCCAATCTTACATTACATTTATTAATTATCTCATATTAATAATAAAGTTGATATACAATTTAATTACATATTTAAAAAATCGAAAAACTTTTATTAATATTTATTAAATATTTATTATTTTACAGTTTAATATAACATTTGTTTAAATATGATATTTTAAAACAAACTATTAGACAATAACTTTTAAAATATTATTTAAACTATTATTAGAAATTGATTGTAATATTAATTAGACATTTATATAACAGAAAACATTTAGTAATTGTCATACATTTGGTGTTTATTTTTATTATGTAAACAATTAAAGGACTCAAAATAATTATAAATTTTTATTAATTAAAAAAATAACAAAACAGTCATAGAGAGTAAGTGAGAAATAATAACTGTTTTTTAATATAATTATTTTTTTAATATATAGTATATTTTACAAATGTAAATGTTTTTATAAATACATGAGGAAATTGTATTATTTTTATAAAAATTAATTTTGATTATTTGATTAAAAGCTTAAATAAATGTTTTTAATATTAATATCAAATGACTAATAGTATTGTTTGTTTTTTTTAAAAAAATATCTATTAATGAATTTTGATAATATTAAACAATTATTAAAAATTTTAATTTGTAATATTATATAAAACTTTAGGGTAAACAAAATTATTAGAAAACGGGATGTTTTTTTTATATTCAAAAATATGAATCATTATATTTAAATAGTTTTAATATATTGTATTTAAATTACTAAATATATTATAAACTATTAAATAGTTTCAGTATTGATAAAAGTTTTCATTTGTTAAGATAATAGTAATTATTTTTATTAATCTGGCATTTAATCTACAAATTATAATGAATTCAACCGAATACTACTCTCAGGTATTATTTGGTTTTCATTGATTTATTTAATTAGTTTTTATATGTAACATATTTTTTATGTGAACATAATATTAAAGTAATAAATGTAAACTTAATATAATGTATAAAATATTTTTTGATATATTTGTCATTTATATTTACTGTTAGATAATTAGTGATGGTTTGACTAAAAATCCTCAAATATTATCACCAGAAATGTTGCTAATTAAACCAATAATATTTGCAATTATATCATTGATTGCAATCATTATATGTGTTGTAATAGTCATACACATGAAGCGTGTGTTTAATGGCCAGACATTACAGGACAGGAGGACTAACGATCACGAAATGGTTAAT